CACCTCATCGCCCCGTGTCACGCGTTCGTGCCGTGACCTCGGATTCGTGCACGACGGATGCTGCACGCCGAATTCCGTGCGAGATGTGCCACAACGGACTTTCTCGCGAAACGTTTACGAGAAATCCGATAATACTGCAGCCTTTGCTCCTTCTTCCAAAAGTAATTTTAGTCTTTTTCCTCGCGAGTCATTCACGTTCGCGGGGGTTAATCGTCCCTTTAGGTAATAGCGTGACTATCGCCGCGCGCTCGGCGCTTATTACGTTTTCGCTTGGCGTGGGATCAAACGTTTAGCGATATTTTATATGACAAGAATGACAGATACATATATATGTATATTATACAATATTATTATACGAAATCATCATAAAATTGAAATTTTAATGTTAATGAAACAATGAAATTTTTATCTAACGATATTCAAGATAAGAGATTGAGTGTCGTGATGAATATTGAAAAGATTAATGCTTTATATGTATGAATGCAAAGTTTAATAATGCGGATTATATTCTTATATTCATAAAATATTTTTATATTCATAAAATCATAAAATATATTCATAAAATATTTTTATATTCATAAAATCATAAAATATATTCATAGAATATTTTTATATTCATAAAATCATGAAGCATTAGTGATATCCCATTTTCCACAAGATTACATGAATATTAGTCAAATATAATATTAATCAAAATTAATAAACTTGTCTCTTTGAAATCAAGTTGATATTCATCGTATCAAGCATATAAAATTGAAATATTTAAAGATAACAAAAATGTCTTTAGTTAGGATAAAGACAAATTTAAATATTACTAGATCGCGAAAAAAAGACAGATGATGAAAATTATCGCAACCTCGAGCTCATTTGATCGCGGTAATATATCGATATGTGACGGTGTCGCGTTGTCAAAACGAAAATTATATTTGTCGCGTCACTTAGCTCATCGCAAAGAAATACGTCAAATGAATAACAGCCGCGCTAAACGCACACGTAACTCATTCGCGGAATCAATTCTTAGGATCGCGATAAAGGTCCGGCGACACGTTTCGTCGTTCTCGCGGAAAACCGAATTCCTTGAATGCCGATCTGTATATCGATGCTCGAATCACACGCGACTCGCTTCGTTTCATGCTCCCCATTTGGCAGCGTGAAATGCGAGGTTCTCGTTCGATTCTCCTCACGTGCGGAGAATTATAGCGTTTCTCCCTCGAGGAAAATTATCATGGAAAATTAGCGCCGCTGATCGACTTATCGAATGTCATTCCCGAATGACATTCTCATCATCCGGGTAAATATTCTGTTCCCCTAATTCCCACTGTTCGAGAGGTACTCTTTCTAGTTTCTCACCATCTCGACAAGATTCTTTTTAATTTTTTTTTCATTCATATTGGAACATCGTCATTATCACGTAATTTCAATACCGTACACATTTGTACACATCAAAAATAATTTATTGCCACAACATCGTCGTCAGTCACGCATTCCGTGTGATTTTTGATGTATAATTCTTCATTTTATTTGATTGTTATTGTTTAATTATTTTTAATTTATTAATTATTTAATTTAATTAATTAAAGTATATCAATCGAGAAATTTGAATCCAAAGTCGCGCATATTCGCTTTCTATAAACCGTTTCTCATTTCTTTTCACGATCACGGACGATTCTGATTTCTCCGCGTTGTTTTATAGCGTTACAAATCGATCTAGGATTCCGGGCGTGCCGGCTGATTTGAGATAATCTCAGCTTCTCTCGACGGATTTGTCGCACGCGCCCCTAAATGGCGTACGTTCTCCGCGTGGACGGGGACCGGTCGTTTTGCCGTTTGTTGTCGTCGTCGTTACTATTTCCGCCGCAGTTGCTATTGCGACTCGCCAATCTTGGCCGAACCCCGTGTACGTCCAACGGCCGGACGGGTAACCGAATTGTGCAAAAACTTGTAAAGCCAAGCCGAACACGCGCTCGCACGCACGATGTTACGCAATCCCGCGAATCCCGTTGTCCCTCTTTGTCGGGGGACAACTGTCCGACTATCCGTACGTAGCTGACCGAGTGAATACACGACGACCTGCTCGGGGAATCCGGCGACGCAATCGCTATTCGCGAAAGACGACCATCCGCGGCGATGGAAGAATGTCGCCACTTTTCCCGATTCCGTGGGCGATTTAGAGCCCGATATGGCAGAATCGCGCTGCCGGATCAATTACATCGCGTGGACAATTCGAGCGAATAAACCGAGCACGTTGACAAATCGATATGTAGGTATGTAAATTGCGCTGACACTTTTCTGACACCGTCGCGATGCGGGCAGATATATCTCTCATGTACGATTTCTCTTGCTCGATTGATTACAAAATTTTTCGAACAATTGCTCTGGCAATAATTATTAATTTTTCAAATTTGATCTTCTTAAATCTTACTAAATAAATTTAATGCAAGTATATATGCAAGATATCTATTACACCACGCTATTATTAAATAGAAATGTGTGCGTAAAGTCTATATATTTTTTCATCGTTTGATTTTCACGGGATACATTATATACTTCTAATCGCGAAATGGCTGGAAAATATAAAATATATACGCGATAGTTATATTTCTGGCTAATAAATAGTCTAAAAGATGAAAGCACCATTTAACAACGGCATTGCAATTGCATACATTATATATGAAATTCCCGCCGTAATTCTCTGTTTTATTTTATATATTTTTCTTCTATAATAATTACTCTTAAATATTTACTTACATATATATTCTCTCTATTGCACCTAATATAGTCGTTATTATATTATGATCCTGTTGGATTACGATTTTGATTCATCGAAATCTCACGCGGACGATCTAAGATAATATAAAATTTAATTACATCAAATAACTTTTATAATCATTCCGAAAAATAAAATATCTGATTTGATAAATTCGAGATTTGATAAACACTGTTTCCTTAAACAAAAAGTTGATCACCCTCACGTCATAAATGATCATCGGAATATTCTACGAATTACGTGCGAACAAGCGCACGAATTTTTCCGACAGCCATTCTCATTCTATTATTCCGAATGACTCAAACGATGACATAAATGCGACGATCATCCGGAAGTCCAACGAATCATCGAATATTACCGAGACCGACATGTAGGTCGTGAATTGGTCGCGCCGTGGACACTTCATCGAACGACTCATCGTTCCCGATCGGGACGCGTGTACCGCTACTTGCGTGAGCCTTACAGGATTTTCGACTGTTACCAGCTCGCCCACGTGGCTCTTTGATCAGGTGGAGTCCGCGAAATCCGTGTCCTTCCGCAGCAGTCTCCGCGACGACGATACGACACGGTGACTTTTTTTACGTCTTATCTTCCGCTTCTTGTTCCGTAACACGCGCGCGCTAATCGATCGTGACGCAATGATTTAACAACGGGAGAAACGTGAGAACACGGATACGCAAAGTTGCGTAGATATCGTAATCTCGTAATAGTTCTAATTTATGTGGTGACTACATTTTAACAAGGCACAATTGTGGTCAATCTTAAGGAAGTCAATCTTATATATAAAAGCCACAATTATATATGAGCATGAAAATTGGAATAATTATTTGGATCGAGTAAATAGGGAAGGGAAAACATATCTTTTTTTCAAATTTAATATGATGTTAATATGATCCTTTCATATACGCGGATATTAAAGCAGATATTTTTTCCGACTCTTTTTTCATTCTTTGCATTTTATTTTATATATGTATATATAATTTATTCTATACAAGTTATCTTACCATTTTTTAAATATTATTATTATATTATTATATATTTTGTTGTATTGTGGTTGCATTTTTAGAGAAAAAGTAAAATATATATTTGTAGAAGAAAAAACTTGTTGCTATTACATTTTTTGAATAAAAAATTAATTTCATTCATCAGATCGATCAGAAGTTTCCTAAACACGGAAACTTAACCGAATGGGAGTCGGCCTAGCCGATCTGTCGATTATGAGTGTTGCGCGCTCGCATTTTTCGACATCTCTCGAAATTTCTGGAGGGTGTGAAGCGGCGAAAAATTGCAAAGTCGCGTCGTAAATTAGTACTCGATGATCGTGCGAGCGAGACCGCGTGTGTGCGCGCCTTTCGAAGCAGCGGGGTTTTCTCGAGGCAGTTTTATCGTCGGCCGACAGGCGTTTAACTTTACGAGCGGCCACGCCACGTATATACTCTATCTCCTCCTCCTCCTCGTCTTTCCGCTCTTTTTCTCCATCTCTCTACTCGCTCCCTTCGTCCTTTGCTCGTTCCCTTGCGTATCCTCCTCGTCATTCTTTCCTTCTCCTTCTTTCTCGCGCGCGCCTCTCTTCTAGGCGCAGGCATGCTAATTCACGTGACGCGCGTAACATTAAACCCTGACGTTTAATCCGGTAGAAACGCGCGTGGCTTACACGCGGGCACCGACCGTCGACCCTTTATATGGTTCGGTCGTATGGAGGTTTCTCGCGGACGTATCTGGTAATATCCGGCGTGAAAGTACGGCGCGGGCCTCGATCGTGATAATGCTCTTCGTTTGTCTCGATAATCCGATTAATTTATACGGATGCGCCGCTTCGTGCTGTGCGATTCCTCGACATGTCGAAAGTCAAAGGTTGGGCCGAGAGATCTCGCGCGAAAATTCATGTTCAATCGACGATCGTAAGACTATTATAAATGTCTGGTGCGACGATACATACATTTGTAGATCAATTTAACGAGCATGCATTAATTTCTACACATGCGTCAGCAAAATATTCTGTTCCATAATCTCGCTATGTGGTTTTCAGTGGCGTAAATCTGAAAGTATTATCAAAGCATTTTGAAATTGATTATTTAATGCTGTAATTGCAGTAATAAATTTGCGACCTTTTGCATAAAGACTTTTTCATGAATGTTTCAAAATTTTTAATGAAATAGATATAATTCTGATATAATTGAAATTTTATATGACACGAGCAATTAACAGCAATTATTATAACCTTCTGTTACAGTCATTCTTCGGTCGCACGTATAGCAACCCCGGTAGTGTGTCAGAATGTAAGAACGGCGGCAATTGCGAGATTAACAAGAAGAATCGTACGTCCTGCAAAGCCTGCCGACTGAAAAAATGCATATTAGCCGGTATGTCCAAGTCAAGCTCGCGCTACGGTCGACGTTCAAATTCGTTTAAGGCGATCTACACATCAAGCCACACACAGGAAGATAAACAGAGCGAAAAGCCCTACACCGTTCCGTCCTTCGGTTTATATCCATCTTTACTATCTCGATCTTGCATCGGTTATGACGATGAGAGTGACGCTTCGACCGCCCAGAAAATTTCAGCAAACCATGTCAACGATGCCGTAAATTCTCACAATAACGGGCTCTTTTTGCACAACTGGCGTGCCAAGTTCAAACCGCAATTATCTATCACATCTCTATCCACATCGAATCAAGTCACATCATTGCCGACGGATAATCAAATACAGCAACAAAGCCCAATGCAATACGCAATGCCCTTCCTGTCAGAGTCCTGCCAATCATTCATGTTGGAATCACAGTCAAGAAACACGTCCGACAGCGACTTCAGTGATGACGAACGCCTTCCCGATGTGGAGTATAAGAACAGTTCGAGCGGAGTTTCGCCATTCACATTCACCAAGATAGACGAGCCAACGTTGTCCAGTTCAGTATCCATCAATGGCAGCTTGATGCTTATGGACGCTCATAATCCCTATTTAAACTCGTTATACTCGATACCAGGTATGATCACACCGACGGCATACTCAGCGAGGGGTGGCGACTCACTTTTGGTCAGTCCTAATCCTGGTGGTCTTGCCGACGAGCTGGACAAACCGATAGACCTCAGTATACGGGCGAGCAGTAGCTCGTCGCAATCTAATGAATCGTTGGAAAAGAAGAAGAGGGAGGAAAATGAGGAGGATCAGATAAACGATAGCGACAGCTCGTCCACGGAGGATTGCGCGGCAAACCCGCTCGATTTAACGCTCGACGCTACACCTTTAGTTAAATCTTTGAGATCCACAAGTCGATCTTAATTTAATCGCATTCGAAGTCTCAAGCAATTTTGAGATAGATAATTTCAAAAAATTCGAGAGAGATGTCGGACAAGAATTTACCATAGCGATATTTATTGATGAAGCGAAAAGAGATTAATAATATAGACATAAAGGAAATTACTTCCGCGATGAGGAGACAACAGCGATGCTGATTGCGAGGAAATATCGAGCGTTTTGATTACTGGTAGGCATCATCACGAAAATGTGTTCATTTCGTATAAAGGAGTATTCGGAACACGAAGACTTCTTTGTGCGCGTGTGTATTATATTGATTTAATTTATTTCAGATTAACTAAGTTATCCGTATCACGTACAGCCTCTGAATGAATGCCGTTTCAAACAAACCAAGAATAAAAAATAATAATTATGTAGAGTTATTGTTATCAAATATTATTACTGACATAATAATATAGAAAAATATATTATAGGTATATCTATTCAGAAATTTTGACAGACTCGTTAAGTTATTTTTGATTAATGCGATTTCAAATAGAAGAGAGAACAGAGATATACACAAAAAATCAATTATATTATTTAATAGATAGTCGAGAAATTGATTGTAAAAAATGTGTTTTTCTTGTTGATAGGATAAATATAAAAATTATATTATATAATTACGCATAGTGAGCCAGAGTGAAGTATGTTTTGGCCAGTATAAGTTAAATACCTGAGCTCTTTGCATTCGTATGTCTATTCTCAGTTGCCGAAGCTAGAGAAATCTCTTCCACTCGTATATCTATTTTTAGTTGCCATGAAAAAAAGATAAAATTTCAAAAAATATAAGAACAACCTTGAATCGAATTTCGAACCAAATGTTTAGATAAACTTCAAGTCGAGTTTCATCGCAAACGCATATTAAAATTTATTTTAATGCGTGTTCACAACGAAGCGTTGCACATTTTTTTGGACGTGTGATGAAATGAGTTCACAAGACATATAATAATATGAAATCAATATAATAGTAGGCAGACAGAGGCCAATAGAGGCCTATCTCTAGGCAGAATTAGACACGCCTTGTTTAATTTTTTTTAGAGTGTATTCTTGTGTGCATCTAACTTTTCACATATTTATTTTGCAATTTACGTCAATAACGCAATTCAACAAAAAATAATCTTTTTTCGTCATTTTTATTGCAATCAAAAAATTAAGTATGTTGTTAGAACTTTCATCTTTTAAAAGGATTTTGTTGTATCGATTACAGTTAATAAGACATTTATTAAATTTATTTTTATTGAATTGATGTTTTTATTATAAAAAAATGCGAGTTAGATCACATTAAGGATCTACTAAATAATTTTCAATTATTTGAACTTAATAGAAAATTGTATGTAATGCGAAACAATTTGAAAAAAAGTACAGATTATTTAGTATGTTCCAGTGGGAAAACTAAAGACAATACACAGCAGTCAAATTTTATTTGTACCCAACATTTGTGATCGAAAATCTACCTTTGGACATATAGGTGATTGTTTTCAGAGATATCATACTTTATCAAATAAAATTTGATTTTTATATAAAATAACATTTTGTGTATATTTATTTACGTAAATCTAAATTAGATTTATGTATGTTTTTCCACATGATATGCGTGTTAGAATTTATAAATAATTATATAATATTTATTTTTAAGTGTGTGTAATTATTTATTTTTAGAAGATCATATAATAGGAGATATGTACACAAAAATCATGAAAAACTTGCAAAATCTGAAAATTATGTTTGTTTCTTTCTTGTATTCTGCACAAAGAACAAGTCAAACAATTTATTATAAGCTGGCTGATACACTGGGTTCACGTTATTACGAGTGCAAAGGGTTTTTTAATATAATATATTATTTATATATCATAAATCGCATAGATATATTCAAAGTAGGGCGATTAAATAGAAACATTTATGTCTTTGTTGCGCTTTTAAAAATAAAACAAAAATCTTTAAGGAAAAATATCACAGTTCGAGAAATAAATATGATGGTGGAAAGAATTTTTTTTTGCAAAAGTGTGGCTTTTTTCTAAAGATTTCAAAATTTTGCTTTTTTAAACAAAACCATATATGTTTTTTTCTTATGCATAATATGCATAATAATAGGAAAAATTAATTTATATAAGAAAACAAAATATGATTGCACTAACATAGCAGTGATCTTGAAACATCTAAAACAACAACTTTGAAAAAGTTTATTTTTACCCTCATATTGTTCTCCCTCTTTTTCTATAAATTATTAACATTACGTTGGAGGATTTACCATATATTGTGGTGGATAATGCTATTATATTATTCCGTACAATTCTCAACGTGTATACGAATGCGTAGCTGCGCATGTGTATATGTGCCTGCATATATGTGTTAATGAGGATACGAGAGAAACTTGAGGCAGTGCATCAGTTCACTGCGACTGGTTACACCAGTCGAGCAATAAGCAATCGCTTCAATCCGTCATGACTCTATGCATGAGTTGGGCAACACTGTTGTGTACAGAACAATTTTAACTGTCTGCGTGCGCGACACACACATCCGCTCGGGGCGAATGAAATATCGATGGACAAGCCAGCTTACAAGTCCGCGATTCAATCGCAACAAAAGCGAATTTTCACGAGAACAGTAGCGACCGCATGGAGAAACTTCTTTTAACACACGAGCATAAATCTCTAGAAATGAAATAAGTAAATGTAAGAAGTGATTGACTACTGCTACTAATCGTGTCACGGAAATTCGCTTAGCGTGGAATTTGTATCATATATATTTGTATCATATAATAGTAGATAGAAAATATTTGTTATTAATTTTAATTTGATGTAAATATAGAATTAATTATCTTTTATCGTCTCTTTAATTATTTTAATCTTTTTATATAATAAGTTTTTATATGATACACTCTAACGTAGAATTTAAGTATTGTCGAGAAAAGATGCCACTATCTTCTTAACACAGAGCTTTTATATAGAAAAAAATCTGTAGAAATTCGAACTGTACTTATATTCAACTCTGCTTTTATTATCACGGTATCAAAAAAATTCATCAAGAAAGAAGTCGCATCAGAGTCGATTTAAAATTTAATTCAACTAAATAATAACCTAGCAATTTATTAATTTTTTTAATATTCCAACTTAAATAATAAATAGGTAATCCTGTCAATTTCGTATTTCGCTATTATTAGACTTGTTATCAATTGTCTTTATCAATTAATTTTATCAATTGTAATAAACAAAACGCACGAAATATATAAAGGTATCTACCAAGATATTTTTCAAATTTTTCAAAACTCGGAGATTTCAACAATCACCTAATATCATCTAAAAACATTTAATTATACATCTAATTACGTTTATTATTATGCAATAATAGTCAGACGGCGCGGCGTGTCGATTTATATATCTTAGAAAAAATTTATACTATGTACATAAATGCTTTAGAGAATCGTCAGATCGATAGAATAAATCATCTTCATGATTGAATCCATCGTACAAAGAGATTTATCGGAAATGAACCGTAGTGGTTTGGACTTTAGTGGAAACACCGGTCGCTTTCTCTTCGAAGCAGTTCGCGAAAGATACACGTTCGGCAATCTCGCGAAGCGGTGACAACAAGAGAGGGACGCGGTAGATCGTGCGAGCATAATGCGTCAAGTAGAATGCCAATGGCTCTCTCGGGACACGATAGACAAGATAGTCGACTTGCTTCCGCTCCAGACAGCGGCACTGGTAAGAAATCATCGATGATCTCACGTGCGATATGCCGTTCTGCACGATTTCTCGTTTCTTTTTTCACTTATCCGTTTCATGATTAAGCAAATTAATAACTCGAAGAGACAACCGTAATGACGCGCTAATTGATTGCGCAAAACGCGGTGTTCACGTAAAACCACCGTCGCGGCCATGAGTAATGAGCCATGTCGCCGTGTAATTATTAATTCCTATAGCTGTTGACGGTTTTACAAAGTGACTCTATCCATTTCGTTTATAAAAATTTCGCTGGAACCGATGACAGGCACATCGCGCGCGCGCGCGCGCGCGCGGTAAAAAATAGATTTCGTGTGGAATCGTAATCATCTGTCTGACGTCGACACGTTTCGACGATGAGGCAATATCAATCTTTCGCGGCATTTTTATTTGAATAACACATTTATATCGTACATATGATGCTTGGCGTAACGGCATATATATTTTCTTTATACATACGTTTTATTCAAGCTACGATATTTCGTGAGATGTTATCGTCGCTGCAATTTAAAATATGTATATTACATACATGATATAAGAAATACACGATATATATATATATATAAGAGCAGAAATATATTACTCTTATAACTATAATAATAAGCCGCGCTCGATTAACTGTAAAAACAAACGCGGCGATTAAATCTGCGGTGATTAAGTCATGCTCAAATTAGAATTACGATCGTATCTGATAAAATATATCTATGCAGCGCTTCGTAAGCTTCGGATTAAATAATTTCAGCATTTGTGCAAATCTCTCTCTCTAAAAATTTATTAGAAAATTTTATATCTCTCTTTTCACAATTCTTACCATAAAAACGAAAATAATAATCGTGGTAAAAAAAAAAAAAAATTTTTTAAATTTGCAAATTCTTCTGACGTGATTCATTTCATGATGTCATAAATAAATGAAGAAGAAACCGCGTTGTTGAGTGCGACGCGAGGGCTATCGTCGGTACCGATAGACTTCGCCGCGAAGTATACGGCTTATACAGATCCCTGGCGTGCACGTAGAGCGTTAGGGGTTAACGAGGGCCGATCGTGCGATCGGTCGATCTTTCCCAAGAGTCGAGGCGGCCCAATTAGAAGGCACATAAAAGCCGGGCGCATAATCAGCAATTTGTATTGTCGAAGGATAAGAACGAACGCGCGCGCTCTCGCTCACTCACTCGCGAAAAGAAACCTCTCTCGCCCTCATTCCGTCTCTCTCGTTCATTGTTCTCTTCTGCACGCCCACCCTCTCTTTTGAAAACCACTTTGCAAAATAACTTCATACACAAGGTGAACAACGTCAAATGAGAGGATGAGAGGTAAAGAGCTACGCGGCGCGTACGTTGACGGTGTCGGCTCGATGGAATTGAGGGAGGGAGAGACGAGAGGAGGCCTGGCACCCGATTAAGCTATGCAATCGCCAATTATCGGCAATTTGATCCGGTTATAACTCAATTTAAAGTAATTGGGCCGCGTCGAGCGGCTCCGTTCCTCAAGAGTCTCTCGGTATGTATTAAGACGCCTCGCTTATGTACACGTACGCGTGTACTCGCGTGAATTTACGTGTGTGCACATACAACGTACGACATGTACGGGAGGAGGAACGTAAAAGGTAAAGAGAGAAAGGGCGAAGAAAGGGTAAAAGAGAAGACGTCCCGAGGAGCAAACGCTATAGCAGCATGCATTTAAGAGACTCAGCCTGGATGCTTTTAGCGCCCTTCGATGATCGTAAATTACTGATTGGCCGGCATGAACGTGCACGCCGACGTGGAGCGACGATACTGAAATCTTTTCCGCGAACGCACTTGATGGACGTACATACGTATACACGACTAGAGCAAGACATGACTTTGAATTCCGTTTCCACATTGCACACTCTCGATTTGTTTCGGTCATATTCTGCAAAGATCACGATTTCTCTAAATTAATTTGATTTTGTGAAAGTGAAAAATTATGCGAAATCTAAGAGATAAAATTGAAATTAGAGAATTATTATTTATGGATAAGTAATCAGATTTACGACGATTCTGTTAAAAGAGACAACA